CCTACTGAACCTCTGGACATCTTCCCCAATTTGTCCAAAGTTCTCCTGCGCCTTGGGGGGGGGGGCGCGCCAAAGCCTCCGTTCTTCCACACGCGCCTCAAGAGTTCGTTTTGCAAAGAACCTACAGCCAGGTTGACCCTGCAGCACCACAGCAGGCGCAAACTACTGCTGTTGCTAGACTTGCTGCTGCCTACCCTTGAGAGGCCAAGCGTTGTCTCTCTCACCTAAAGTCCATGTGGATGGACCAGGAGGTGACTCCGCCACTCCGCGTCGGGGTGACGGACATGAGAGCGAGAAGTTGCGGCGACACAGACATGATGAGCCCCCCATTCACCGCGTGGGTGACACGCGAGCCAAAAAGAAGACCGATGCCGACAAGGACCAGAGAGAGAGAGCCTGCTCCTTCCCAGTCAGATCCAAGCCCCACCCAAGGGAGAGAAGTTGTCTCGAGGCTGCTGCAGGCTGGGTGGCACCGTGACAATAACAGCGAGGAGGGGCTATTAGTAAAACAAGCGATCGCGCCCCTTACACGTTTGCCTCCGATCTTGGTGGTTTTATGCACACGTTAATGTGTTCACGCACGGACACAGATGATGCTGTACACCACTAGCTAAACATCAACCACAGGGGCGGCTTTGGTACCTTCCCCCTGCTGCGAGTGTGAAGCAACGTTGCACGGAAACGCCATGCACATCTCGACGGGCGTTGTCGTAATGGCTGTCGTCCACGCTCCCGCGTAGACGCATGCCGTATTTGGAGACCTTGGACCTCGCAGCCCTACATCACCAGCTACAGGTCGGGTGTGTGTTGGTGTGTTCCAGAAAAATGTACGCAACGAATGTTAAATTCATGTGTTCCCGGTAACGTCTGTAGCGTGTGATAGAACGATAGTTAGGTCTATCTCACATGGTACATGTGTGTAGTCCTTACCCGACAAAAGGCCCATGTTCGCCATGATGGTGCTATATACAAGTACATGGCAAGCTCCGGACCGGATATATGAGCGACGCAGCTCACCCGAAGGTGTTATACTACGGGCAAGGTATACCGTATGACACAAGATAACACACCCCCTTGACCATTTTTCGAAGCTCGATTTCTCAACTGCAGGAACAGTCACAGCGCCGAAAACGGCGGCGTTGAAACTGTGTCGTCGAGAGCTTTTCGAAAATGTATCGTTTCGTGTATGAATCCTCTTCGTGGTGGAGTAATCGAGCTTTGAAAATCGGTCCAGGGGGTGTGTTATCTTGTGTCATTTATGGTATATCCATCCCATGGGTCTCACAGGTGTGTTCGTAAATCGCAACCACTACGGCGTACATACTTCTGACGCGAATCTAAGAATAACAAGGTATTCCACGCTTCGTACGCTCGTATCGCAACCACACCGCTGCTGCATGCATACTTCCGACGCGAATCCAAGGAGTGCGTTCCTGAACTAGTCAGTAAAGCTATAACAAGCTAAATTGTGTACCCTGCTGCTGGTTGTACGGCAATCAATCTCGCCGCTCTTACAACTTCAAGAACGCCCAACCTTCTGTGAGATCGTGCTTCCACCCGAAGCAATCCATACATACACTTACCTGCTGAGGTTAGCGACGCAAGCCGCAACGCCTCCGTAGCAAGGGAGAAACGGAGAGGCTTTCTGCAGGCTGCGGTGATATGCGGTGGTCACACTACACACACAACAATCAAAGCTGACCCCCATGTCTCGGTCGCGCCCCCCCCACGGGCTTATCCATTCTACTGAGCCCCTGCGAGCGGTGCGTTCACAAATGACAAATGCGGCGAAGAGAGGATAGCTGCGCAGCAGAAGAACCAGGCGGCCGCGTTCGCAAGGATGCTTTCCCGGCACCCGCAAGCCCAGCCATCATCAAAGCGGCCACGGGTGAGTGAAGACCAAAGTGGGGAGGGAAGCAGTGCGGATGCGTGGAGCGGCAAAATCGGCGACTGCGCATCCGCCCCAAAGTCTTTTTTCAAGTAGTTTCGGGGCCACCCCCATGCCCCGAAATTTGGGGCCAAAAAAAAAAAACACTTTGATCTCGCCGCATAAAATCGCCGAAAGAGTTGGTTGAAATCTCTCTGCAATTATCGAAGATATGATATATATAAGCATAAAAAAACGCAACGGCTGCCGCTTGTGCGCTTGTGTGGTGTGTGCCTGTGTGCCGATGGCTGTGTGCTGCCGTCGATGGCTGTGTACCGCTGCTGCGTGGGTGACAATTGAACAATACAGGAGCGCTTGTGCTCAGTAGATGGTGTCATGCCGTTGATGTGGGTATTTTCCCTCGGGTAGACTGGGCACGACCGTCGGTTTCTCGAAGTTACAGCACTCGTTGACGGGCGTGTGCGCGCTTATTCACACACACAGAGCTTTACGTGATGCTGCCAGAGGAAATATATCTAACCAGCTGTAGGTGAGGCGTGCCGATCGTACTTGGCGCCGGCAAAAACAACCCGGAGTGCATGATGTGTGTCTCTTGAACATGCGTCATCGCCGCATGGCGGGGAACCACGGCATATAATGACCAGAAGAGGACTGATCGGCGAACATGTAGGTGTGCCTATGTAGCACACATGTACCTGATACACTGTGGTTAGCACACAAATGCAGTATGGGCGCATCTGATTTCGAGGTTGCACACTTTACCTCCCCCACAACACGCCGGTTTGGCAACCGCAATAATATTACGTGAAGGAGCAGCAGTGAAACACACAACATTCGTGCAGAATGAGAAAGCCCGCCCTTGCCACCAGAAACAGAATTCTACACCCCAGCCGTTCTAGATCGCCCGGTGCCCACTAGGGGGTCCTGTAACTGCCGCACCCGCGGCCTTCTTGTTTGCCCCGCCCACAGGTGTGTACGATGTGAGGTTGTGGTTTCGGAAGTAGCTCTTCAACCTCTCGCGTTTGGCAGCAACCCTGCCTGACGTCGGCTGATCCATATCCGAGAGGTAAGGAATAGCCACGGCGTCGGGAAGTGTCTCTATTTCTTCTATCGTCAGAGGAACCCTGTTCGCGACTCTAGCAACGGCATTTTCCCTGTCAGGTCTGACGTCACGACGGCGCTTTGATCTCGACGTGGTCGAAGAAGAGTTCGAAGGAGAGGTCGAACAAGACGACGCCGTTCTGCCCGCCGATTGCACAGCTGCGAAGTCTGCGGAGACCTGTCGGGCCCTCTTAGCCGTGGCCGTTGTCGTTGATTTTTTTCGCAGCTTTTGCGCTGAAGTGGGTCCACGGAGAATTATTGGCGCGTCCCGGTCAAGCTGCTGGGTGAAAAACTCTGTGTTGTACAGTCGCGCCGTCTCCTCCATCACCTCCCCTCGGCCTTGAGCCCTTGCTGTCGCAAGACAACGGGCAAAGGCATCCAGCTCGCCGTCGGTTGTCGGGGTGACAGACTTCTGTCCCTCGATGGTGGGACGTTTACTATGTAGCTTGCGCGCCCCCCCATAGTTGGCGAAAGCGGCACCCGTCGTTGTCATGGTCGGCAACGGCGCCGCACCCGCACCCAGCACCGCGCCCGCACCCGGCACCGCCGTTCCCACCCGGCCTTCTTGCGTCGATGATGGCGAGGGCGAATCCCCCGGCGCCGCGCCCGCACCCGCCGCAGGCCACGGCCCCGGCCCTGCCGCCCCGTCTGCCGGAGGCCCCTCCGCAGGCCCCGCCGCCCCAGCCGCCGCCGTTCCAATCCGGCCTCCTGCTGTCGGTAGTGGCAACGGCGCCGTCTCCGGCCCCTCCCTTGCGGCACTTCCTGCCGTCATCGACGGCGAAGAGCGGGGGTTGTTGCCCCGACGCTCTGCAACTATCCTCGTTGCGGCATTCATGGCTTCTCGTCGACCGGCAGCTTTCCTGGCGGTGTGGAACTCGAACCCCATCGGTTCCAAGTCCTTCGTTGGGATCTGACACCGGCACACGAACAGCAGGGAGTTGGCATCACATACGTCGTGCTGTGTACAGCATCGAAAGTGCACGGCAAGGTACATCGACGACAACCACCACAAAAAGCAAGCTTGCATCTACAGCTACAGCTACGGATGGGGCTTACTTTCGGGTCGGGAGGCGCCTTCGGGAACGGGAGCGAAGCGAGGATGCCCGAGGCCGCTTTGTTCACCACGCGCTCCCTCCAAGGCCAACGAGTTGACTGCTTGCTGGTGTTGCCAAGCTTGCGGTCCATGTCTAGGTTGTGACGACAAACACGTTGCAGAAGCCTCGCGTCGCACGCCTCCACACCGATGCGAGCCACGCCTGCGACCAGACGATTGATGCCGCCGTGGAAATTCTCGTTCTTCCCAGTTCCACCTTTCTTGGACCACCTCATGAGGTTTGTCTTCGGCCCCCTCCCACGAGGTATGTACCTGCGTACAGTAGGGACAATGGCGACACGAGTGGAGAAGACATGAACAACACACTCGCGAAACGTAGCAGCAAGCAGCAGTCAAACAAGGACCAGCAAAAAAGGCGTTAACGTCGTACTTGCAAGGTTTCCTCACATGTCATCCACACCCAACGGGTCTTGCGCGCATCCTTTCCTGAGGCACCTGCGCATTTTCTCGAGCGCTGCCATCGCGCCTGTTGGACCTGATTTTCCAGGGGGCGCATCCGGGCGCAGCAGCGGAATTCCCCCCCTCGCGACATCGTCGGCATCCATCTTTGCGTGCGCCTGCACGAACTGCACCAACTCCTTCTCCACTACGTCGGCTGGTCGGGAAATAGTCCTCACGCAAGCTGACCATGCTCTCTTTTTAGCCAGTACCTCCGCGTCTACCTTCGACAACCCCCGATTCTCACGCTGCAAGTACGCCACAACCTCATCAACATCAGGTTGGTACCGGTGGCGGACAATCTGTCCAACTCCCGCCGCGAACGTAGCCCTTCGTGGGTGGACTTTGGATGTAGTTGCACCCACAAGAGTCTACGGAGAGGGTGTCAACGGAAAACCGCAGTAGAATACCAACAATGTGGAACGAGGGGATGCACGCGACGGGGCAAAAAAGTGGTTCAGGTACGACGTATGGGATGCAAAACGAAGGAGACCTTCAGTACGATGTCTGGTGCGCTATCAAACGAATGAGTGAACAACGATTAAAAACATCAACATTTCCTCCTGTTGCAACGTCATGAAGGAATTTTGTACCTGTCCGAAGTGGAAAGAATCTGAAAGCGCCGCTCGCGACAAGCCCGTGAAAATCGACTTCATCCATGGCTCCGTCACGTCCACAGCGTTCTTGCAGCACATGTCGTCGTACAGGTACTGAAGTGTGGGCAACGTGCCGTTCCGCCTTCGTCTATCCGCGTACCTGCGGCGTTGTTCGCGGCACACAAACCAAGGCTCAACAGGAGGTCGATTCTTTCGGGAAATACCCAATGAACAAAAAATACCCATCAATCATAGCTTTCGACAGAGGCACGACCGTTTGTTTGGCACCAAACTTCAAGACAGCGCACCTCATGAAAAGTGGACGGAGCTCTGACTTGCTTTCGCTTGTGATAGCTCCGTAGTCGTGGACCTTGGCGTTCTCCCCCAACAAGAAATAAAGGCAAGCGGGTACTCCAGGCACCCTCAAACCGATGCGCCACGTGCCATCCATGTTGACAATTTGGCCCTCGCACTCGGCTTGAATCACGCGCCTCATGTAGTCCTTTTCCTGTTCCAGCCAAAAATGCGTCATCGTGGTCATGGCCTTGCCGGAACCAAAAAAAACTGAAAACCTAGGAGCACCAACACCCGAGGAAGCAACAGAAAAAAACAGTGGCGACGAAGTAGTCATGCGTGGCATCTACTAGCAACGTCTTCCTCCTCCTCACCTCATCATGCCCGGCGTTGTAGATTGTGTTCAACACGGCGACGGACGGGGTGCCGACGAGAGTCCCGCGAACGAACTTCCACCCTGGCCACAAACTTCCATCCCCGTGCTTCTCGGCAAACGACATGTATCTCCTCATGTCTCTCAACTCCCGACCTTGGTCGCCTGCAGCTAACGCCCTGCGATACACCTTTGCGGCCGGAGAAAGCAACGGCAAAAAAAATGGACAGGATGTAGACGGCGGACGAACACCTGTCAGGGGGCCACATCTGTCACAGCGATACTCGCGAGGGAAAAAAAGAACGATTCCTCAAAGCGTAAAACAACGAAGAGAAGTACCACAAGGTTGCACCTGAAGGTCGCCTTCCATCGCCCTCACTTGGTCCAGCAACATCTCTGATGAGCCACTTTGCCTGAAATATCGGAAGGGTAGACGCAACGCCACCTCCTCAGGCAACACCTGCATGTATCTGCCGATTTCATGGCCCACAAGCGAGGGTGAAGGCGTCGTAAATACACCGTAGAATTCGAAATTTCCAACTTTTACACACAATCTTGCTTCCCCGACTTTATAGCCCAAATACCACACGAAATCGAAAGCATACCTGTCGTCCTGGGTGGTGAAGGTTGCGCCGTTTGGGCACCACTTCTGGGTGGTGGCCTCATCCCACCCGTCATCCGCAACCTCCACCTTTTTTTTTTTGGCTGCCTTCTTCGCACTCGCCAACACCAGAGGGCAATTGGGATTCCGGCAGGCGTACCTGCCAGACAATGGAACCACCACCCTGCCTACATCGGGGATCGCTCGGATCTGCAAAGTAATGCGGGAGATTGCGTGTGGGAGAGTACGCAAGCCGAAATGTTTTTTGTTGTATTTATTGTTGTCTTCACGTAAAAATGTAGGTACAGTCGGTCACCATCCGGGACGTTTTGGGAAAAAAACAGGAGAGAACGGAAACAATCTGTTTATAACGGCAGCTACGACTCTGCAGTGTTGCAGAAAAGGTTGCAATATGGAACATCAACGTAAATTTTTTGAGATGCAGATATTTTGCTCCTACACCACAGACGTCTGCTGACCTTCGTGGCGCTCGCATTACTCCAGCCGTGCCCTGATACTCCGGGAGGCTTCACAAACGTGTTCGACCTGCATCCAGGACAGATCATCCTCACGGACGTTGACCCGCTGTAGGTCGTTACCTGAAACAAGAATGATACAACGGAAGAGTTCTTACCCTCGGGCCTCTCGTCGGGCACTCCTCTTGCCCACCTGTGTGGATGTGGATTGGAGAAGGCGACCTAGCGCGAGCAACGTGTCTGCAGAGCTGTATTTCATGTACTACAAAGCTTGCCTGAAAATCCGGAATCTTGACCAAAACGTCGAAGAAAACCACTTCGAGTAGGTAGACAACGAACACAACGTGCGTTGTTGCGAAAACGGCCATGGCCGCCTCCTTCAACAGTTGCTTCAGGAGGCCCCGGTTCGTACTTCCTCCAACCATCGCTCGCGACTTCATCTTTTCCGTGGCTGCCGACGGCTGCATCGCTGCCAAGGCACGCTTCTCAGGGCTGTCTACCGGCCGGCATATAGGGGCTTCCGGGAAACGTTGCCTAAACGCTGCCGCAATAGACCTGGGCGACTTCAAACTTGGAGCCATCCAGTCTGGGCGACTAAACGAACCATCCTCGTACACCTTGGGAGCTAGACCCACGACACTGCTAGCTTGCATCGCCAGGGCAGCTTGCAACTCACGGTTGGACCATCGCTCACGGTCTCCTTCATTCGCGTCTCCCTCCTCCTCCTCCTCCTCCTCTTCCTCCTCCTCCCCAATAGACTCTACTTCCTCCATGGCCTCTCCGTTCATGTTTCTTCCTGCTGCTGGCGTGGTGCCCAGCCCTCTCAAGTCAAGCGATCCAGATCCGACTGCGGTGTTGGACCGCCCTGAAGAAACCGCGGTGTCATGGGCAGCCTCCCCCACCTCCGCCGCCGCTCTGAACGGTTCCTCCGCTCCTCCTGCAGGCGGCCTTTGAGCGGCTGCGACTGGTGCTGCTGATGTTGTTGTTGTTGTTGTTGTTGTTGTTGCTGTTGCTGCTGCGGCGGCAGCGGCGGCAGCGGCCGCTGCCGCTGCTACTTGTGAGGACATCGTTGTTTGCTGCAGCCGGTTCTCTGAGCTACCACCACTGGAACTAGGCGTTCGCCCAGATATGCCTACATTGCCCACTGTGCCATGACAATCATACGAAACTCGTCGCTGCAGGCTGTCCTCCGATCGATCGCAATCCGCACAAAAATGATCGAACCCGTGTGGATTCTGATCAGGAGGAACCCGTATAGATATCCTCTTCTGGCCGCTGTTCACGTGCCTGAGACACATGTGACAGGTGAACATCTTGTTTGCTGGCGCTTCATATCTGTCTGACCTGTGTCTGTCTGCCCTGCCATGGCCGCCGCGATCATCATCTGGCCCGGGAGCTGCAGACATGAACCAGGCTGGCGACCCGCCGTTGCGCCACCGTCCGCTGCCGTTGTGCGTGGTGTTGCTATCGACGCTTGCTGGGTGGTGATGAAAAAAATCTTCGAGAATCAAAGCTGCGCTGGAACTTTCGGGGCGCAGAACCAGTTGTGTGCCCCAAAAGTCTGCATTGCTGGCATTTGGCCCCGATTCACACTAAAATCAAATGACGATGCGCAGTGGCTTCCTGGGACGTACGTAGGATGCGCAGTAGGGGGCCCCGGCCGGGGAGCGGCGATGTTGACGTTAGTGGGGGTTCTGGTGGTTCATCAAGCACGGCGGCACCAACCATAGGTGAGTCCACTCCACCTCCCGCCGGTACACAACAGCAGTCGCCTCCTCGCTTAGACGATGCACCACTCTCGAGTAGATGGAGAAGGAGCTCGGGCACCACCATTCTTAACCGTAGGAGAAGGATCCGCAACAGCACCAACAGAGCTCGTAACAACAACAACAACAACAACAACAACAATAACAGCAGCAGCAGCAGCAGCAGCAGCAACAGCAGCAGCAACAGCAGCAGCAGCAGCAGCAGCAGCAGCAGCAGCAGCAGCAGTGGCGGCGGTACCCGTCCCGCACCCTCCCAGCAAAGGCAAGGGTAAAGCCCGTGCTCATGAAGCCTCCCAAGCACGCGGGGGGGCAGCTCCAGCAGAGCTATCCTCTCAAATAGGTGAGGGGTCAGTGCCAGCATCAACGACACCGGCAATATCAGCGGCACCAGAGGCCGCAACAGGGGCAGCAACACCGGCACAACTCGCAGCAGCAGCAGCGGAAGTAGTCGCCGCCGCGGGGGCGGCAGCGGCGAGACCAGCAGCAAGCAGAGGTCACGACCGCGGAGCGCGCCAACAAGGACGAGGAGGGGGGCTGAGCGGCCGGAGGAAGAGGAGGGGGAATGAGCGGCCGTGGGGGAGGTGGAGGAGGGGGGCGAGGGGCAGCAGCGCCAGGTCGTGGACCAGGAGGAAGTGGGGCTGGAGGAGCCGCCGGTGGAGGGGCCGGCGATGATGATACTTCAACATCCAGTGCGCAGGAACGCTTCTTTCAAGAAGTAAAGGACAAGATCGACCGGAGTATCACCCACGAGGGAGGTGGTTTGAAGGGCCGGTTCCCGGGTTGGTCTGGTCGTGGCTTTCCCAGCCTGTTCAAAACATTTGCGGATGGTACCGCAAACGTTGCTGCGGGAAATGTCGTATCTCACATGCGCCGACCCGTGCTACAACGAAAACGTGTCGCCCTCGCAATGCTGTTGCAGGCGCATACGACCAAGTTCATGGTGTACCAGCTGAAGTACACCTCTCTGGTCAACACCCGGCGGACCAGCTCGGGCATCTTCCGCTCGGCCAACCTCGCCAAAACTCCGGAGAGGTTCGGCAGCTTTGATGACTCGACGAAGTACGGCGGTGCGGTCCCGTCGGAGCACTTTTTGCGGGACGTGAGGCGGTTGTATTTCTCGAAACTCCCCGTGCTGGAGGTGGATAGCGTGGATTGGACCCTGGAGGAGTATCAGCACCGCTTGATGCAGCGCTGGGACGGAGACATTCTGGGTGGGGATGCTTCGTTTAAGTTTGCGAAGATCATCCGGCTCCGGGCAAAAGCGGGCGAGGAGCGCACAAGACCAGTGTACGGCTTCTTCGCAGTCTTCAACGAATGTGAGGAGGTGAAAATTTCTCCTGTCTCTGCTTTGTTCAACCATCCCCAAACCCTTCGTGTTGGTGCCATGTTTTCTGGAGCAATCACTGTAAAATTATTCTCGTAGTATGGTGCGCTCATTCTCATGACCCGAAAAACATGTCGTTGTTACACATGTGTGTTCCTATTTGAAGGTGGTCTGGCAGCGTCCGATGAAGACCGGTGCCTTGAGCGAGCTGGCGGAGGAGTTGAAGCTTTTTTTCATGCGATTCGTTCGCAATGGCTTCAAGGTTCCTACTCTGTGGAACACAGGTAATTTGCGAAATGATTGTAGACTTGCTTCGCTTTTCGAGGTTGTAGACCGGTGTCAGGCCTGTTATTTTCGCAGTGACTTGCAGTATTGTCTCCTCAATCCTTTCCGGCCCCGTTGCGTGACGCTTCACTTTGTCAGATGACTGCTGTGATGACCTTCAACTGCTGCATCGCGTATTACGCGAGTTTGAGGAGGTAACGGGGATCAGTCTTCATCTGGAAGACGAGGTGGACGCCGGAGTTCAGTTGGAGCTCCTGCCACAGCTGGATATGGAGTTCACCCCTGCCATCGTGTAC